TTAATTGTTTCTTTTACGAGTTAAAATGTGTAATTTCAGTGACAAGCATAGAGCCTTACAAAATGCGTTGAGTTAAAATGTGTAATTTCAGTGACAAGCATAGAGCCTTACAAAATGCGTTGAGTTAAAATGTGTAATTTCAGTGACAAACATAGAGCCTTACAAAATGCGTTGAGTTAAAGTGTGTAATTTCTGTGACAAATGTAGATCATTACAAAATGCGTTGAGTTAAAGTGTGTAATTTCTGTAACAAACGAAGATCATTACAAAATGCGTTGAGTTAAAGTGTGTAATTTCTGTGACAAACATAGAGCCTTACAAAATGCGTTGAGTTAAAGTGTGTAATTTCTGTGACAAACATAGAGCCTTACAAAATGCGTTGAGTTAAAGTGTGTAATTTCTGTGACAAACGTAGATCATTACAAAATGCGTTGTATTCAATCAATCTAGTATTTACATAAGAACTAAGTTTGTACCGATACAATTAAGGAGATATGTATTATTTAAATATGTAGTATCTACAAGAACGAGACGTAGTTTATCTAATGTTTAAATGCTCCCTTTTCACACGGTCCTTGTTTCAAATATGTCGAAACAGAGTACATAAAAATGCACCATTATCATTTTTTTTCAAATCATAAAACTTTCCTCTTCGAGCTAGACATCATTAGCTAAAGAGGGGTTGCTAAGGTTTATTACTGTTATATCTGATAAAATTACTTGGGTTTTTTTTTGTTGTTGTTGTTGTTGAATTTTGCACAAAGCTACTGATTGGTTAGCCTTACCTAATGTTAAACTAGGGGGGGTGGCAGCTACTCAACATGCCTTCCCAGCTTTTGAGCTACTTTTTGCTAAGGAATAGTTGGAGGGACAATCACATTGGGGAGCTCCCACTGTTGAAAGGGGATGTTCAGCGATGGGTTTGGATCCCACAGATTGCTAGTCGAACACCCTAACTACCAGGCCAATGACAGGTACACTTTCTAAGAATTGCTAATTTTTTGTACGGTATTGTCAAAGGTGCCTTAAACTGAATTGTTTTATATTACTATTTTTTTACTCATACTCTTTGGAACTATAAAATTAATATTTACCTATTATTCAGTAGTATTGAAATGTGTTTTTCGCTATGATATACGCCACCTATATACGTTTTTATCCAATGATTGTTTCCTTATGTTCGATCGTATATCAAACACGAAGTAAAAACATGGTGTAACAAATAAATACATATTTTTCGTTAGAGATCCTAAGTTTGTATAATCCATGAATTTATTATGTTTATTTAAAGCCCAATGCCTCTCTGGTTTGTTTTATTTCTACAAACGTTATGACCGCAATGATATACAATTACATTAATCTATTTTAGGCATGTCCATTGCGACATCCCTGCGATTAGACGTCGACATGTTTGATGTGCCGTCACCAATAAGAGCTGGCCAATCTGTAGAACTGACCTGTTCCTACAAGTTAGACGATGATTCGTTATATTCTGTGAAATGGTACAAGGATAATATAGAGTTCTACCGATATGTCCCCAAGGACTGGCCTCCTGGTCAGTTCCTTCCTCTTCGAGGTGTGCGAGTAGAGGTAAGTTGTTGTTCTTGTTTTACTGATCAGTTCCTTCCTCTTCAAGTTGTGGATAGAGGTAAGTTATTGTTCTTATTTTACTGATCAGTTCCTTCCTCTTCAAGTTGTGGATAGAGGTAAGTTATTGTTCTTGTTTTACTGATCAGTTCCTTCCTCTTCAAGTTGTGCGGGTAGAGGTAAGTTATTGTTCTTATTTTACTGATCAGTTCCTTCCTCTTCAAGTTGTGGATAGAGGTAAGTTGTTGTTCTTGTTTTACTGATCAGTTCCTTCCTCTTCAAGTTGTGGGTGGAGGTAAGTTGTTGTTCTTGTTTTAATGATCAGTTCCTTCCTCTTCAAGTTGTGGGTATAGGTAAGTTGTTCTTTTTTACTGATCAGTTCCTTCCTCTTCAAGTTGTGGGTAGAGGTAAGTTGTTGTTCTTTTTTACTGATCAGTTCTTTCCTCTTCAAGTTGTGGGTAGAGATAAGTTGTTCTTTTTTACTGATCCGTTCTCTCCTCTTCAAGGTGCGCGGGTAGAGGTAAGTTTTCTTGTTTTAATCGTCAGTTCCTTCATCTTCAAGGTGTGTGGGCAGATATAATTGGTTCTCGTTTTACTAATCAGTTCCTTCATCTTCAAGGTGTATGGGTAAAGGTAAGTTGTTGATCTTGTTAAAGCCGAGCAGTGAGCTATCTGCATTGTAATTCCACACACTTAGCGCTAACCTACCTGGGTACAGAGGTAAGTTTAGTACGGATTTATTATTATAACTGTAGAACACATAGGTTCAAGAAGTCTTAACATAAGACGATAAAACCCTATAACCCGAGCGCTTTCGAAAGTTTAACCTTCTTCATAGGGGGTAAACTGGATGGGTAAACCTGAAGAAGAAAGGTCCACCTTTCGAAAGTTTAACCTTCTTCATAGGGGGTAAACTGGATGGGTAAACCTGAAGAAGAAAGGTCCACCTTTCGAAAGTGCTCGAGTTATAGGTTTTTATCATTTCCTAGTACGAGTAAATTTATTATGATTTTAAATTTATAAATGGAGTTAAAATAAAGATACCCGAAAAATATATTTATATATATATATATTTAACAACTAGTCAATTTATTTACCTTCGGAGTCCTGTACATGTCAGTTTCCAAAACCAAATTTATTTACTACAGTTATGTCATTGAAAACACAAATTTTGGTTCTGATGATTTCGCACTGTCGTTTACATACGAGATACAGGATTAACTCTGTTGTTTATTTAATAATGTCTTCACACTCTCGATGTCCTATGGGACACAGAATGGGTTAACTTCCAACATTTATTTATCAATGTCTTCTTTCTGTCACTGCCTCATGGGAAACGGAATTAGCTCTGAAATGTATCTACTTATTTAATTGCTATAAGGTATATAGATACATCACAAACTTTTGTTGTTTTATTTGGATATAAACGGTAATTCAATATACTGGTTTCATCGATATCCTAAGTCTCTTCATTTGACTTTTTTGAAAATGTTTCATGTCAGTTCATTCTTGAAATTTAATGGTAGCTGTACGTACAAACAAAATCATTGTACACGTTTTTTTTTTCTTCCTCAGCACTGTCGGAGGTTAAGCCTCGTGATTAGTTATTTCCAACGTAAAAACGCCTTGTGATTGGTTAGTTCAAACATAAAGAGCCTTGTGATTGGTTCGTTCAAACGTAAAAATCTTTCTAGATCAATAGTTATTACCTTTTAATCCTGGGAGTGGTTTAAAACAGTCGTTTCGTACTCAAACACAAGATACAGCTTTTAATTTATTAAAACAATCTACGTGTTTAAAGGTGTTCTGTTTTTATGTAGATAAAAATTGGCTGTAGATGAAAATGATCATGCCTGATATTTTGAAATTAGTTGTTACGGAAAATTTAGCTTGAAGCAATAATATGTTGGTTTAAATAACATCATGAACTTAAACAAGATTTTGTTTTTGGCGAGCGGCGTGTGAATAAACAATAGCGGTGCATGAAAGGTACGAGGGTGAGCCAGCGAGATCAAAGATTTCCAAAATTCGAGAATATTCGTCCCTAATTTTGAGAAAAGGCAGCCTGTTAGCAACATCAACCGCCATAAGAGCATTTTTCAACTCTTTGAACCAAATGACGAGGTCAACTGCTACTTTTGTAACGTACCTACCTCTGAAAATGCGGAACGTATTCAATAACAATATATCTCGAACTCCAGACCTTTTCATCCGCAGCCCCATACGCTAATTGCTAAGCCTCGTCAATACCGGTATGGGAAATACTTATAATTAATTGTACTTCTAATTTGCTAAATAAAGAAAATTGTTCCTCTTATTATTATTAATTGTTTGAATAATATACATTAGATTTCTTATTATTATATTATTAATTGTTTGAATAATATACATTAGATTTCTTATTATTATTATTATTAATTGTTTGAATAATATACATTAGATTTCTTATTATTATTATTATTAATTGTTTGAATAATATACATTAGATTTTTTATTATTATATTATTAATTGTTTGAATAATATACATTAGATTTCTTATTATTATATTATTAATTGTTTGAATAATATACATTAGATTTCTTAATATTATATTATTAATTGTTTGAATAATATACATTAGATTTCTTCTTATTATTATTATTAATTGTTTGAATAATATACATTAGATTTCTTCTTATTATTATTATTAATTGTTTGAATAATATACATTAGATTTCCTTCTGAATTATTTGTTTGTTGTTAAGCGCAAAGCTATACAATGGGCTATCTGTGCTTTTCCCGCTGACTTAATGAGGGGGGCTTCCTCGGTTGTTGTTAGTTGTTTCTGACTAAGCTCCTAAGGCTAACTGTCACAATCTCTAATTCTGAAGTGCTGACCATAGGGAAGACAACAGCCGATATCACCCATCCCCAACTCTTCGACTACTCTTTTACCAACTAACAGTGAATTGACCGTCATATTATAATGCCACCATGACTGAAAAGGCGAACATTTTCAGCTACGGGTTTCGATCCCGCTACCCGTAGACTGTGGTTCTACAGGAGCGTCATTTATAAGTATACTACTGATAAAATTTAATACTTTCATATAAGATAATTTGAGTGGTGTTTCAGTGGCAAGCTTACGGACTTGCAACTCCAACATCCGAGGTTCGATTCTCCACAATAGATAGAACGCATATAGTCCATTGTGTAGCTTTGCGCTCAGTAAAACAAGTAGCAAGACCAAGCTATTGGTTCTGTTCTTTCAGTGAGGAACGCTGGTCTAGTAGCAACTGTCTTACTTTAAGTGGGGAATGCTGGTTTAGTAAAAACTGTCCTAGTTGAAGCGGGGAACGCTGGTTTAGTAACAACTGTCTTACTTTAAATGGGAAACGCTGGATTAGTAAAAATGTCCTACTTTAAGTGGGGAATGATGGCTTAGTAAAAACTGTCTTACTTTAAGTGGGGAATGATGGCTTAGTAAAAACTGTCCTACTTTAAATGGGGAATGCTGGTTTAGTAAAAACTGTCTTACTTTAAGTGGGGAATGCTGGTTTAGTAAAAACTGTCTTACTTTAAGTGGGGGAATGCTGGTTTAGTAACAACTGTCCTACTTTAAGTAGGGGAACGCAAGTTTAGTAACAACTGTCCTACTTTAAATGGGGAATGCTGGTCTAGTAGCAACTGTCTTACTTTAAGTGGGAAACGCTGGTTTAGTAACAACTGTCTTACTTTAAGTGGGGAACGCAAGTTTAGTAACAACTGTCTTACATTAAGTGGGGAACGCTGGTTTAGTAACAACTGTCTTACTTTAAGTGGGGAACGCAAGTTTAGTAACAACTGTCTTACATTAAGTGGGGAACGCTGGTTTAGTAACACCTGTCCTA